TCTATTTATTTATTTTTTCTCATTTTTCTTTACACTTTTCTAAATAAGTTCTCAGTTTTTTAAAATAATCTGTCTATTAGATTACCGTTAATATTATTTTCCATATTACATATTGTTTTGTTTTTGTTTTAATGGGACTAAGTTTTTTTGTTCTTCCAAAATTGAAAACTTCAAAATAAAGTATTCCAAAAGGTCTCGGATGCTAAATATTTCAGTGACCCCCTGTATTGAGTAAGACACAAACAAAAAAACTGTTTGTTTATTTTTCATTTGATTTATTTACTTTAATTTTTTTCTCATTTTCTTTTCCCTTTTCTAAATAAGTTCTCAGTTTTTTTAAAATAATCTGTGTATTAGATTATCGTTAATATTATTTTAGGACTAAATTGTATTGTTCTTCCAAAATTGAAAACGTATTCCAAAAGCTCTCGGATGCTAAACATTTCAGGGACCGCTCATATGGAATAAGACACAGAAACCCGTTTTTTTTGTCACCTGTTGGAACAGGGCGGTGAGCTTCATCCTCCATTTCTGGTGCCAGGCCGTGTTTTCGCCCATGTTCACCAGCTCGTCCAGCTGCCGCACCGTTTTGATGGTGGTCACCTGTCAGAAAGCACACAGCCCTCAGCACATCTGGCCTAAAACATCTGCCTAATGACTCTGGATGGCTGTTCATCTTTTAAAGGGGACATATTATGCAAAACCAAGTTTTTAATCATTTGATTGTGTACATTTGGGACTGTGGAGGGCCTATCAGCAGGCAAAGTGTGAAAAAAAAATGACTCGGTCGTGTTTTTGTGGGCGGCCTCAGTCTGAATCCAGGAGATAAATCAGGAGGTTTCAGGAGTGGGTAGTTTCTGACGTCATTAGCTCTAGCTCATTATAATATTATTATTATTATAATATTAATATTATTATATATTATCTAGCTCATTATAATATTCCAGCCTTTCTCCTGCATGTTGCCCCCCCCCTCAGCTTACTCCCCTATCTGTGGAGACGTCCTGGTAGCGTGAGCGTTAGCATGGTAGCGTTAGCATGGTAGCATTAGCATGGTAGCGTTAGCATGGTAGTGTTAGCATGCTAGCGTTAGCATGGTAGCGTTAGCATGGTAGCGTTATGACTCCTTTAAGCAGTTCGAAACTGGTTTCCCCTCAGTATTGGCTTCATTATAATGTGAGAATTACAGTTTTCAACCCTGTTATTATGATATTAGACGCATATATTTCATATTCTGTTCCATTTTTTGTTTCCTTTTTTTCTTCCCCCTTCATCATCCAGGAGCACCTTTTATCTTAAGGGTTAATAACAGAAGTAATGAAGGAGTAGGAGCCAGAAAAATCTCTCTTTAATTCAAAGTTTCCTCATAAAAATATTCCATTAGACATTATTTTTACTGCTTTAGTCTGGATATGATGTATTAGTTTTAAAAAGGCTCAATAAATTTAAAAAATCCACATAAAAATGTTCCATTAGACATTATTTTACTGCTATAGTCAGGATAAGATGTATTAGATTAAAAAATGTTCAGTAAATGGAAAAACTCATGTTTAAGGCTCTGAAGTATTTATTTCCAATAAGTCTTTACTTGACATATAAAACTATCCAGGAGCACCTTTTATCTTTACTTTAATTGTCTGACCGAGTGTTGTAAGCTTTTATTTTACGCATATTATCCCATGCAAGCTTTATGCCGTATTTGTTTGATTTTTTAAATAAAAAAATTTAAATTACAAAAAAAAAAGAAAATAGTTTCCCAAATATTCACTCATTTAATACACATGCAGAACAAACTCCGTAATGATTTTCAGAATTACTTTTCAGCTTTGAAACTCGTCTTTATCGTTCCTGTTTTTGTTCCGTTCGTAATTAATTCTCCTTTTAAATAAAGCAGGAAGATGTAAAGAAATAGCTGGATGTCACCTGGTGGTTAGCGTTTAGTTTGAGGCATTACACATGTTTAAAGCAGATCTATTTTTATTCATTATTATGCAGATTTATGCAGCAGAGAGCTCTAAACCTGCTGCATGGTGGGAGAAAAAGGCCTGTCATTTCCTGTAAAAAGCTGTAAGAGGCCTGAGATTTAAAGGGGAACTCACAGAGAAAACCCTCTCCGGGTAGCCCTTAGCCCTCATGTTGGTGTCGTGGACCTGCTTCAGAATCATCCACGCCTCGTCGTGCTTCCCGTTCTGCAGGAAAAGACACAAACACACACAAATAAACATTAAAATAAACACAAATAAACACAAATAAACACAAAGAGACACAAATAAACACAAACAAACACAAAGATACACAAATAAATACAAATAAACACAGACACAAACAAACATAAATAAACACAAAGAGACACAAACAAACACAAATAAACACAAAGAGAAACAAATAAACACAAATAAACACAAAAACAAAGAGACACAAATAAACACAAAAAACACAAATAAACACAAACAAACACAAACAAACAAACACAAAGAGACACAAAGAGACACAAATAAACACAAACAAACACAAAGAGACACAAATAAACACAAATAAAAACAAACAGACACAAATAAACACAAATAAACACAAATAAACACGTTGAAATGATCATTTTTTTCCAGGTAAAACTTGTCCTTTCATTGGATTATTAACCCCAGGATTGTCCATCTAAGAAACAACAGGCAGAAAAGTCCGTTTTTTTTTTTGTCTCTGTAATTAAATATATTTGAATTGTGTGAGTTTTAATGCATAGGGGGAAAAAAAACTATTTTTGTCCCTGAAAAGACACACAAAGCATTCAAAGATGAACTAATAAAAATGGATGTGAAGGCTGAATAATGCCAACAAACAAACAGGGAAAACTAGTGACCTTTCCTCTAAAATCTGTAACAATTCTAGCTAAACTAAAGCAGGATTTCAGAGTAGCTAACTCAGATAAGAATACCCCCCATAAAATGCAGATTAGGATTGCAGAAAAAAACAAATAATTTCCCCCTATGCGATTGCAGATGCCCCCCCCCTCTCTGTTTCTGCTCCAGGTTTCTTCCCCCTAAAGGCAGTTTTTCCTTCCCTGTGTCGCCTAGTGCTGCTCTTGGTGGGAACTGTTGTTCTTCTGTAAATAATCAGAGTCTGAGCTGCTCTGTTTGAAAAATTTGGGAGAGAACTGCTGTTGGGATTTGGTGATATAGAAATAAAACTGAATTTATATTGAATTTATTGATTCACCATCAACGGCTGACGCTCACAGGGAGATAAGATCTTTGGAGTTCTTGCTTTCTGTGAGTTGAAGCTATATACAGTGGGGGAAATAAGTATTTGACCCCTTGCTGATTTTGCAGGT